ATACACTCAGTGACTAAAACAGCAGCCGCTCTTTGGTGGAAACAAGTAAACATGATTTATCAAAACTGTTAAAAGCATGGGCTGTTTCACATGGGATGTTTCAGTTCACTTTGTTTTCTGTCTTTGGCAATGGCTCTGGACCAGATGTACTGGAGAAAGATGTAGCAGCATGTGTAACGAGCTGTTACGGAACAGCTTTCCCACAGATGGATCTCCTCAGCGCATCCTCTTCATCAACAGTTTCCTAAAAGTAGTGTAAACTGTTAAGAGAAGGTATCCATAAACATTTAGGCGTGATGGCATCACCTCCTGCCTGGTGAAGACCATCTGTGTGCCCAGCTGAGATATTAATATATTGGCCTTCTCCATTAGTGCTCCCTGGAATGGTGCTCCAGTCCCACCGCATCGCACCAGTAACTGGCTGTTACCACAAACACGAGGGCAGCTGTTTCGTGTAGGGTGATGGAGACCTGCTTTAGCTCATATGGGTAAGGTTGGAAAGACTCCAGTACATGTTTCCTGGTCCTAATTCTGACTGAGGCTGTGAATTGTATTTGAAGTTACTATATTTGGTTACTTTAATTAAAATATTTTAATGTATGAAGAGGAGCATAATTTGGAGAGTAAAAAAATAAATAATAACAGTAAAGAATATGGGAGCCCTTCGACCATGCAGTCACTCCCCAGCTGAATCAGAAAAATTATTAGTTAGCTGCTCCCATCTTTTGATGGGTGTTTGATACCCATTGGAAATCGGCTTGAGATTGGTACCTGGGTTGCAGTCAATGAGTGCCACGCAAAATACAGGCTGGAGCCCTTTCTTCAGTCTTGGAGATGCCAATGATTTAACAGTCACACTGCAAAATCCTCCCCGAGCGTGTTTGCTGTGCTTGTTCTAGGACTGTTCTCTACAGGCTTGTCATCCCATCCCGGTGCCTTTTGACAAGAGATTTATTTCTGCTTTTATTCCCTTTGAGATGTTCAGAGAAATAACTGCAATCATTCCTGCAAACCTCTCTCATACTCTTGTGGTCATTTTTAAACCCTGAAAGTAATATTTTTAAAAATATTGTTGGATCTTGTGTTTTAAGTAGAGACATTTTCTATCCTCAGATAATTATGAAGAGAGTTTTTAAAAATCTAAACTGTATCTTCTGGGTTAAACTTCATGCTTCTAGAGATAAGCTTAACCTTTCTATAAATAATGCAGTTCAAAAGAATGCTTATGAAATGTCTGACTTGCCACATCTACTTGTTGCTTTCTGGGCAATAGATTGGGCATGAGATCATGGGAATTTGCTGTTCTGCTTGTGAAAGCTGAGCTGGTTGGAGAACGATGCCACTGGGACTTGAATTGATAGCTGAGCACTTGAAGAGAAACCTCTTCTTTTGAAATATATGCAGTGGCCTCCAGCTCAGGGAGCGAAGATGTTGCCCAGCACATTCTTGAGCTTTTTGCTGCTGGAGGAGTCCACTGCAATGTGTACTGGCCAATAATTTATTTAAAAGATGATTTCCTGTGTTAAGCTGCAGAGTCCAGTGGCAGTAGGCTTTCTAGTCTGAAATGAGGTGAGAGAAAAGGAGGAAATGGTGAGTTCAAAGTTGGGGGCAGAGGAAGAGTCACTGCTGTGGACTTCTTGAGAACTTTGGGGTATTGTCTTTGTCACTGATGTTCCTTTCTTGTTTTACAAACCTGAGATGTTTATGTTTTGGGGATGTCCCCCCCAGGAGAGAAGGTGCAATGAGGCAAAGCCTGGTAGTCTTAAATAAATAAATATTTGGGATACCAGGGTGAAATTAAGCTGTCCTTCTACAAAAAGAGAGGAATGCAGAAATCTAGGAGGGGCCAGAAGGGAAGGAACCACAGGAAAGTGGTTTGGGAAAACCTGAGTCAGCTTGGTGCTGTTGAAGCCCATGGGGAAGGACTCTTGGACTGTAGTGAAGATAATGAGGAAGGAATGCCAGAAAGATTATTAAACTTGAATAAAAAGTAGTCAAGCATATGCTTGCTGTGGCTCCCATCCACACACTGCTCTGCAGTTGGACCCTGTTCAGTTCTGTATTTTGTGTAAAATAATGACACTTCATCGTTCATTTTCAGTAAGCCATGACCATGGATTCATTTTCACGGCATGAAAATTTTATAGAAAGATTTTGCTTTGAGTGTGTTACCAGTGTATTTTTTCCACATCTGTCTGATGCCTGAATTAGTTCACAGATTTATGTCTAGCAGCACGTCTTAAGTCTTTACTTACGTTGCAAGTTAAATCAAAAGCAAACAAATTTAGGAAGAGGTAAGAGGAAATACGAACAAGTGCATTCTTGTTTCAGGGTTACAGGAACTAGGAGTGTCCTGTGTTTCATTTGTTACTTCAACAGAATCATCTTACTCATCTTCATCAACTCTGGGTGTTTGTGTGTGTTGAGGTGGAACAGGACTTCTGAAGTTCTCCTTGCCTACCAAATAGAAACCTAATTTCTCTATCAGACTTCTCAGTTCTCTTGCCATGAAACTGAGACATTTTGTCTGGCCATGGTGGCAGCTGCATCTTGCTCTTTGGCCTGACCTTCCCCTGGCTTTGCACTGTGCTTTGCAGGCAGAGGTGGGAAGCGGTGGAAGGAGCAGTGTTTGCATGGGGGTTGTGCCTCTCGGGAAGACCTTGTGCTTGGCAAGTCCCCATGTCAGTAAGTCCCTGAGAAACGTGGCAGTGGCACCACACCTCTCTTGCTTCATGGCCCACATACCACACGCTTGCTCTGGATCCCGAACTGACGTTTGGTAGCCTGTGTATCAACACTCCAGTTGAGGGGGCTGCTGTACCAGAGTGTGTTGAAAGAGTCTCATGTTTAATTAAAATAATTTAGGACTGGACAGTTTAATGAGGTTTTTCTCAGAATTGCTTTTTTCCTGCCTCTCCCTACCCTCCTGCCAGGTGGTTCTGGATGATGGCAGGTACCAGGCAATAAGCAGTGAATTATAATGGACTTTTTTCAAGAAGAGGGATGTTTGGAGGGGTTTTAGGTATTTGCTCACTGCGTGACCCAGCTCTGCAGCATGTGGCAAGCTCACGTTGAAGGTGCTGCCTGGCACACAGCAACTGGGCACATAAGGGGAAAAGAACCACGACACGGAGGAAGGTGGTGGAAACCTGCCTTTGCATATGACCTGAAACGCACAGGAATCGATTGCAGGTGCTCTCGACCTGTGGGTTGTAAACAGAGACCAGGAAATTGCAACTGCACTGCCCTTCCTGTGTTGCTCAACGGCAGGGGAGGGGCAGTGGGGCAGGGAGAAGCGTGGGAGCCGCTGCTGGTGGCTTCTGCTGCAGGAGAAGGCAGCTGTGTCACCAGTGCATTGCTTTGCTAGTAGGTCTGGTGCGGGGCCAAGAGGGCTGTGAGGGTCATCTTTGTTTCTGCAGCTCCCTTGCTTCCATTGTACACAAGCACATACACTGGTGGTTAATTCTCCCCACCTGCCTCTTTGCAAAAGAAAAAGTGAGGTGCTTGCCTTTGTCCCAACAGTGTGCCTGTTCTTAAAGTCTTACTTGGGCTTTAGAGGTGTGTCTTTGGGGTTAAGAGATGGTACTGAGTGTCAGGTTTAAAAAAAAAAAATAAAAAAATTCAGGAGCTGTACCAATCTAGATTTCCAGTTGACAGTCTTGTCCTCTTGCAAAAGTTTCTAGTGGTGCTGCTTGCTTAAAAGTCTAATAAAATGCCTGAGGTTACTAGGCTGAGTGGTGATCAGGGCTCTGAAGAAGTGGAAGGACATCTTTGTTAATAAAAACACACTTGAGTGGGTATCGTGTCTGGTTTAGAAGCATAACTGGAAATGGAAGGGCAAAACCAGGAATTTTTGAAATAAAGAATGACTGGATGAGCACTTCTGCCTCTTGTGAAACATGTCTGACTACTCATTTGGTGCGGTGAAAAGGTTGAATGCCTCTGGCAGAGGAGGGAGACAGTGATGGAGGAATAAGGGCCTCTAAGGCTGTAAATAGCAAATGAGTTGATCAGCACTGGTGGAAGTGAAGGTGAATGTCAAGGTCTTGTGACCTGGTTTTTAGCTGAAATAGAGTTGGTTTTTCTTTTTAGTAATTAGAAGAGTGGGTGAATGGCTGTGTTGGCTGCTAGCCAAGGGCTAGCTAAGTGAAACTATCACATCTTGCTGGGTGGTGGGTGCTCCAGAGAGGAGGAGCGTGGGTGGGTGCTCATGGTGAAGGGATGCCTTACAAAGGAGCAGCAAGCTTTATCAGCAAGAGTCAAACACCATTGGCAGCCGTCATTGGGTGCTTGTTAATGGTGGAAGCATCTGCAGAATATTGATCTGAATTTGTAATTTGTGTGCTGCTCCCCATAGGGGTTTGGGCCCCGGATCTCCCTCCTCTGAACAAGTTTTCATGTTCTGAGTAGGGAAATCAAAGGAGTTTTGCGTGATGGCAAGGTATTGGGAAACCAGGGTACTTGGAGGTGCCTCATATGAGGTGCCTCGTTAGTTATTTCTGATTGATTATGCTACAAAGACATTTGTCTTCTGGCTGCTGTTGGACAGAAAGGTAATAAATGCCATCCTGATTGGCAGTGAATTTGGTAGAAGTGTCCTAGGTTAAATTATTTTCTTCCTTAGACTCGGATGGGGACCAGCAGGTGAGGAGAGTGATTCACTCCAGAGAAATGGGGACATTCTCCCCCAATTAGTTTCCAGGGGGCAGACAGGGAGGGCATTAGCTCTGCACAGCTGTGGCAGTAAAAATGAGGGGTTGGTTGCTCAAAAATTACTACAAGAAACCAACTAAATTCTCTGCCTCTCTCGGATCATGTGTTGTCTTGCACTGATTTCTACTTGCCTACTCAAAATGCATCTTTATGGAAATATACAATAGTTATGCTAAAATTAGAGCGAACTGTGGTCTTGCTGTTGAAATGAGAGGCTCTGTCTTTATGTCTGCATTTGTTTGAGAGAGAGTCTCTTGAAACTAAAATTTCACTTGTTCCTCTTCCAGACGCAGTTGAGTCCATGCTTTCAGACTACGACATACTTTCTCAGTCTAGCATCCAGCAACACTCACTGAAGAAGAGGGACCTCCAGCCTGAGACACATGTAGAGAGGCTCTTAAGTTTTTCAGCCCTGCAAAGGTAATTAAATCATCAGCAATGAAATAGCACAATATTTTCCCTTCGGTTTGTGATGAATAATGCGCAGTTCCAAACCCAGAAATAGTTACCTTGTTTTCCCTCATGACTGGCCAGTTCTGAGTGAGTGATGTGCCTGGTTCTGTGACTTCAGAGAGGCTCAAAGGAAACAGAAAAATAAGTTGCATTGTATTACTCTGCTGAAGTGGCAGTGATTTAAAATTTCTTTTGCTTTGTTCTTAGCTTTAGTTTCATGTAGATTACTTCAACTGATGGGGTTGGATCCCACTTACACCTCATCTGGCAGCATTGTCATAGCTCTTCACTGTTCTCTGGCTCTTGAAATCTCTGCCTTCAGCTTGGGGAGTGTGTCTGGTGTGTTGCCCAAGAGATTTATTGTATTTTTTTTCATGGAAGTTTAATCCTTTTCCTACTGAGTGTGTATTTCCTATACAACAAACACTTCTTTTAATGATTTTTTTTTTTTTTAATAATAATTCAGGAAATAGAAGCACGGGTGAAAGGGGAAGGAAAGCTAGAAGAGAGCAGGCATGAAGGTTGTAGGGATTTTTTTTCTTGAGTGTCAGAATTCTGAGTATTTGAGTGCTGAAGTTGTAAATCTAAAATGAGGGAGCACAATGAGAATAATCATAGAATCATAGAATGGTTACAAAGTAATACTTTGTATTAACAAGTGTAGGTCGATTTTGTTCATCTGACATCTTTGTCTGCTGTGTCTCATGTGCCTTCCCCCATCTGTCATCTCCAAGTACAGTTGTCATGCAAGTTGTCGTGCATATTTTTTGAATCTCTAAATTTTGGAGGGGGTAATTTTTAAGTACCAAGTATAAAAGGATAATAGCATCCAATGTCTGGCTGTCCCTGTTTTGTACTGCCTTATGCACCCTGACTTTATGGTGAGGTTGCAATACAGCCAGTGATAATTACAGAATAATTGCAGAGGGGCATACCAAAAATCTTTGACCCAAAGCCCACATAAACCAAGAGCCCATGAGGCTCATTCCACAGAAGGTTCTCTACTTACTTCTTGATATAGCCTTTAATTGTTGTAACAATATATCATAAAAATCTACAGAGTTCAGATTTCTGTTTATGGTCTTCTGACTGTATTATTTCAGAAAATAAGAACTTTAAGATAATTTAATTTAAAATAGGTGAACAAATTCCTTGGTCTGATTTTCTTTAAATAGGTACCAATAACAGGTTTTGCTTGACTGCAAATGGAGAAGGTGCATCATGAGCAAACTGTGACTGTTCTGGATTTTGGGGTTTATTTTTTCTCTTTTAATTTAAATATCTTTGACTGTTTAAAAATATTTACAGTTATGAATTACACAGTGTATGTTTTGTAGCCTGCTTATCAGAATTAATGCTTTTTAACTGCTTTTGGACCTCAGTAAAATTAAGACTGGATGTATCTCTTATGTGTATGCTTTGCTTAAAAGTAAATGGAAGTAAATTCTTTTACAGGCACTTTAAATTATACCTAACTGCAACTGCTGAGCACTTCTCAGAAAAATTTCAAGCGTTAATTGTGGATGGTGAAGGGAAGCAAAAGGAGCATCGTGTTCAGTGGCAAGACTTTTTCACTGGACATGTCGTTGGTTAGTATGGACTGGACTGTGTGTCAGTGCTGAGAAAGCACAGCTTTGCACAAATCTCTTGGCCAAAGTAAATGGTATATTGCCCTCATTTTCGTCAGATAATGGTTAGGATGAACAAGTAAACTTAATTCTCATGCCTCTCGGGTTTTCTGGTTTTGTTTTTGTGGTGGGTTTGTTGTGTTTTCTTAGGTTTGGTGGGTGGTGGGGTTTTTTGGGGTTTTTGGTTTTTAGCTATTGCACCAAGGTTCTAACATAGGACTTTTCTGTTTAGTTTGGCAGAACACAAAGTTATAATTTAATCAAACAGGAGCTTGTGATTTTTGTTTTTTTTTTTTTTTTTTTAATTATGGTGGTGGCTTTAATTCTTATTGGAATGTAGGACTTGAATGTTCCTTGTCCCAGGACACAAAGCCCAGGTAGTTAATGGTGATGTAATGTTGCCCAGATTGTTACATTAAAAGACTGTAAGATGGTTCTTTGCAGACTACTTTCCTGTAAAGAAAGGGTATCTTGCTCCACTTCAGTCCAACACTAGTGCTTCCACTAAGTTGTTTTGGTTTTTGTGTTGCCTTTGTGATGTGGTGAAAATCTTTTCCACTGGAATGCAGGCTGAAGCCATGGAACTGGCTGTCTGATAGTAGCAAGAGGTAAGCTGCTTTTGTTGGCAGAAATATTCTGTGTCCTGTTACTAATCCCTGCAGCCATCTCAACACCTTCTACAAAAAAGGTCAATTAAATCAAAGTCCTGATGACTGTGACCATTGGGAAGATAAGTTTAGGGGAGAGTGCTAGTTCATTTCTTTTTTTTCTGTAAACTGGACCTGTATAGTGTTCTTCAGGGACTGAGGAAGGTAAGTTGGCTTGAAGTTTAAAAACAGTTTAAAAAAACCCAACAACAGTGTCTGTGCAGG